CTGCGCCTGCGTAAGCCACGTACTAAAGTCAACAGGTCTCCCCTCAGGGTCAAAACGAAGTACTCGGGAGGTCGCCATAGGGGGCGAAACTGAGAGAGCGCGGCTGCCAGCCGCGGGAGGGGGGAGACAATCAGTAACGTGTGGGCAGGCGGGGAGGCATGCAGGTGGGTAGGTGGGCGACGCAGTGCGCTGTCTGGTGGGCGACGCAGTGCGCTGGCTGGTGGGCGACGCAGTGCGCTGTCTGGTGGGCGACGAAGTGTGCTGTCTGGTGGGCGACGCAGTGCGCTGTCTGGTGGGCGGCGCAGTGCGCTGGCTGGTGGGCGGCGCGGCGCGCTATGGGGCGTGCGGCGCGGCGTACTGGGTGGCGGGCGGGCTGCGCAGCCGGTCGACGGGCGGGCGACGCGGCGCGCGGGCCTACGGGCGGCGCGGCGGGTCGACGGGCAGGCTGCGCAGCCGGTCGACGGGCGGGCGACGCGGCGCGCGGGCCTACGGGCGGCGCGGCGGGCCGACGAGCAGGCTGCGCGGCCAGGCGACGGGCGGGCTAGGCGACGGGCGGGCCTGCGAGCGTTCTAGGCGACGGGCAGGCCTACGGGCGGGCTGCGCGGCGAAGCGACGGGCAGGCCTACGAGCGGGCTAGGCGACGGGCAGGCCTACGCGCGGGCTAGGCGACGGGCAGGCCTACGGGCGGGCTAGGCGACGGGCAGGCCTACGGGCGGGCTAGGCGACGGGCAGGCCTACGGGCGGGCTAGGCGACGGGCAGGCCTACGGGCGGGCTAGGCGACGGGAGGGCCTGCGGGCGGTCTAGACGGCTAGGCGACGCGACGCGCGGGCCTACGGGCGGGCGGCGCGGAGGCTAGGGTTTAGGCCGCGCTGCAGGTCGACCGGCGGCGTGGCGCGGTAGGGGGCAGCTGGCTGGCTGGCTGGCGGCTGTTGATAGAACTAGGCAAGAATGATTGAAAGGAGAGGGGTTTCACTAGCAGCAGTTGGGGTACATATAGCAAACCCTAACTGGGTTGTACTCGCTATAGAGCACCCCACTACAGGCTAGACAATAATAACATTCTGACACACCCCCATAGCCAAAGTGGGGTGTAATCAGTACAATGAGCAGGCATAGCAATAGTTCACAATTATAAGCAAAGCTAGAGGTGATCATAGAGGGCAAGTGAGGAGGAGGAGAAACTGTGAGGGCGAGAAGATGAAAGGCGCCGACTGAAGCTGCAGACACACGGGCAACAGGAGCGGCGCGCACAGTGGCTACCGAGCGCACGAGGGCACCGGACTACGGGAGTATCTGGCTCCGCGGCTACGACGAGCACACACAGGAGCAACGGACCCACAGGCGACTGGCGAAGCAGGCTCGCTGGGCTACCGAGACGCGCGAGGGCATCCGGACTACTGGCGCTGCTGGCGTCACGACGGCTACCTCCGCTCAACCTCCCCCAACAGTCCCACACCCCTCGACACACACCCCCTGCTGCGCCCCTAGCTCCACTCCCCCTTCACCCCCCTAGGACCACTCCTTCGGCTCCCCACACAACCACCCCCCTGAGCGGCAGCTGCAGCAGCGGGAGACGGAGGAGGAGGAGAAGGAGGGGACGGGGCACACAACCGGCACCCCCACACCCGCCACCCCCACACTCTACATCCCCAAACCCTAAAACGGGTGGGATAGGGGCAGGAGCGCGGGGGACGGCGAGAGGGGGACGGACGAGGCGCGCGCAGGCTGCCCGCGCCGCGCGCTGGCCTGGCGCAGCCCGTACGGGCCGCGCGCGGGCCTGGCGCCGCCCGTACGGGCCGCGCGCGGGCTGTACGGGCCGCGCGCGGGCCTGGCGCAGCCCGTACGGGCCGCGCGCGGGCCTGGCGCAGCCCGTACGGGCCGCGCGCGGGTCCCAGGGGCGCTTCGACGGGCGACGGGGGCGTTTTGGCGGGCGACGGGGGGCGCTCCGACGGGCGACGGGGGCGCTTCGACGGGCGACGGGGGGAGGGCGCTTCGACGGGCGACGGGGGGCACTTCGACGGTGGGAAACCGCCGCGCGCCTCGGGGCGCACGGCGTGCAGAAAACCGCCGCGCGCCCCGAGCGCACGGCGGGATGAAAACCGCCGAAACCCTAGAAAAAATTCGCCGCGCGCAGAAGTCGTCGCGCGCCCGAGGCGCCCGGCAGGAAGTAAAGCAGCGGAAGCATTAGGTGGTGGGCCCACCCACAGGATCGACCCAGGAGGGTCGACCTGCTCTGATAGCATGTTGATAGAACTAGGCAAGAATGATTGAAAGGAGAGGGGTTTCACTAGCAGCAGTTGGGGTACATATAGCAAACCCTAACTGGGTTGTACTCGCTATAGAGCACCCCACTACAGGCTAGACAATAATAACATTCTGACAGCGGCTTAGGGCTTAGCGCACTAGCGCGCTGGCGTGTGTGGCGAGCTAGGGAAGGAACGAAACCCTAAACCTAGGGCCTAGGAGCGAGGAACCTAGCTGATACCATCTCAGAAAGTAGCTACAGCGGAATGAGTAGCATTGATTGGGTTGGGGTACATATGCCTAACCCTAACTGTTTGTACCCCATATAGCATGACCCACAATAGGCTATAACATTTGACAGCTTGACACCTAACAAACATATAAACAACATTTGGCAATCTGCTGGAGTTCACAGTGGAATTCTTAGTAGTGGGTGGAACCTTGTTGCATAGTGAATCTAAATAGCAATGATTGATAAGAAAAATTAAGCATTACATAATATAATGATCATAAATAGCCATGTACACTAAGGGTTCACCAGTTGACTTGCGACTGATGACCTGCGTGTCCTATATGAGCTAATTCGTTAGTTGTACATCGAGAATGCTTAAGGGAATTCCCTTCTTACTCCAACACTTGAAAAACATGGTTATTCTAACACGAACTATCGCAAACGTGCGAGCCATACAGTACGGTGCTTTAAGCGAGGCTCGAGCTGCGTAGGGGAACCTTGTGCAGCAATGCGAGCTTTGGAGAAAGTAGTGTGTGGAATGGCGGATACTTGTAACCAGTAGCTGGCAAAGAATGGTCAAAACCAGTTGAAATCAGGTGAGACTTACGGAATTTGAAAAATTCCTAGTTATGATGTAACTTGGGATTCGTTAATGGAGGTACAAGTTATATAAGATCACTTCACCACCACCTGAGTTTGTTCGGTAATATGTTCTCTAACGTAAAACCCTCAACGTTCGCGGCTACAGTGTGTGAACTCTTCACAGCCCGTGACAACATCGTACACTGGATTTTCTCTCTACTATCCACGTGTCATGCAGACATTTGTGAGACATAAAACTTTTGCCCCTCAAGCGTGGTTCCGCAGAATTACTGTACCTAACCACTTACAACTGGTTTGGTGAGATTTAGTGCATACCAAAGAGCCAGCTTTGTTCCGAGCCTCCTTCTTTTGAAGTCCACGTGGCCAGTTGGCCCCCTGGAAGCTGGCACAGCCAAACTTGGCAGGATACTTTGCTTGACATAAAGTCTTAAACCTGGCATGAAACCCTAAACTTTTCTTGACCGAAATTCTCGTTACGGTCACCCGATTTGTATGATGCCCCTCAGATGATCCTTCCAGGCAGTACTGGACTGTATTGGTTGAAACTTTGTGGCGTTGGCCAGTCACGTGTGGGGATTTTTCCGAGACGTAGATGCTGATTCCATCCAGTACTGGAACTGCTTTTATGAAAAATGGTTTTATGTACCATATAGGCGAGTTGGTGTAGTGTTTCTATTATCTGTCCACCGCAAGTCCATGTTCCGTCGTAGCCCCTCACCAAAACCAGTGTGCCAACGTGGCATGGGCATGGTATTCGAGGTTCGGCATGCCTTAAAATCTCGTTTCCTTTTTCCAACATCTAGGGCAGCCGGGAAATAAATCCTTCTGCGGAGCAGCGCAGCCGCCCCAGCCCCTTGCCGCCGCAATGTGGGGCAGGTGTGGTGTGGGGACAAAGTGATCGACAAGAGCCAATGACATTGTCCTGGCTCGGCGCGTTGGGCAACTGGGGGACTAAAATTTCTTACAGTGCTGTACCACTGTTTGATTTTAGCGCTTAGTGATCTAACCGTGGGTGAGAGCGTGGTTTGGGGGGGGGAACGGGAGCAGCGAAGTCTCACCACGCATTTCTCCCTCCCTGTCGCCTCTCTTTCTTGTTCTTGTCCTGCCCGGGGGCCGTGGCCTCCCTCTCCGCCACCTCCCGCGCACTCCTCGTCGAGTCGATGCTCGAGGTGCCCCATGCCGCAAGCAACCCGACTGTCCTCTGGTGTTGTCGGGCGTTCTTAGGCTCACTGCCTAACCCAGTGGCGTCCTTTTTTCGGCTCTCCTCCCAGCTACGCAGCCACGGATTTCGCCGCCATGGTAATCCCTGGAGTGGCTGGGATTAGAGCTGCTTATCTCTAGTGGCATTCGCCAGTCCTCTTCATTCACCTGAGGAGTTTAGTATTTTCCCCCCACCGATTCTGTAGGGCCTTCATACGGAGGCCCTTAGACGGCGCGGTTAAATATAATATTACTCGATCGCAGCTTCTCGCGTCTCGAAAGGCCGATTGCGGATCGCGTTTGCTCGAGGGAAGCTTGCGGCAGCAGGGAGTGATCCGTTTGCCCTTAGCATAAAGGATGCCAGGACCCCAACTCGTGCAACGAAAAGCGCCTGATCTATCGGCGCATTTGCATTCCGATCTCACCTCGAGTTTTTCCGCGAGCGTTTCCCCAAGGCATCCAGCCAAGGCCTGCCTTTATCGGCGCTTCGCAGGCGCAATAACAGACGCAGCGACGGCGGCGGCACCAGTCGACTCGAGTCCGAAACAGCTGCCGATTCCGGTCGAGAATAAGCCGTTAAAGTCGCCGCGAAGCTCCCTTACTTACTCCTCGCCTCGATCGTCCTTTTCGTCTGCTCCTGTTCCCTCTCCCGCTGCTGCTGCCGCTGCCGCTGCTGCTGCTGCTGCCGCTGCTTGTTCTGGCGATAGTGCGGCTCTCAGCATGTCGCCGATTTCGTCTTCTTTGGTTCCGAGTCAGCTCCCGAGTTCAGCCGTCGCGAGCTCGTTCCTCCGACAGAATGCAGCATCGGACGGTGTGGATCTCGCAGACGGCGACCGAAAGTGCCTGATCGGCAACCAATCGGAGCCCTGCACGTGCGACTCGGCGGCGCACGGCACGCGCCAAGCGGATCCGGCAAGTGTACCGCGGTGTGGTGGCGGTAATTGTACTGTTGACGGTAACGTAAATATGGTTGAAACGGGTGAGATGGACAGGCACGAAGCAGATGCGCTGCGCGCTATACCCCAGGAGGCTGAGTCGCCGCAATTCCCGGTGGCAATGCATGTGCGTGAGGTTAACGTTCAGGGCCGCGACGATCCTCCGAGTGGTTTCCAGCAACGGCAGCAGCAACAAGAGGACCCTCGGCAGCTGGATCCGCAGCATCCGGATCGGCAGGAGCAGGATCGGCGCGAGCCGGATTGTCATCAGCAGGATCAGCAGCTGCAGGCTCGGCAGCAGCAGGGTCTGCAGCAGCGACAGTTCAGGCGGCTGCAAGAAGAGCAGGAGGCGGAGAAGGGACAGCAACGATCGGCCAATTGCGACGGATCTGCAACAGCAGGGCCTCGACTTGATCGGGTTAAGGCCCCCGGACGCGAGTTGAGCAACAGTGACACGCTGCAAGAGCAGCAGGAGGGGGAGCAGAAGGAGCAGGCCCAGCAGAAGTTGGGGAACGATACGGCGGTCAATTCAGGCGATGCGAAGGAATCGGAGCACGCGACGAAGCTGGGTGTCGGCGCGACCGTTCAAGACGCCCTTGTCACTCACCCCCCCACTGAACATCAGTCACAACAGCGGTCGCACAATCAGTCGCAGCAGCAGTCGCACGGTCGGCTACACGATCAATCTGCGTCGGATCATCCTTCGCCGCAGGACTCGAGCATCGCCAGCAGAGCAAGCCTATCTAACGGCAATAAGCGCGGACGGGGGGAGCCGCCGCAGCCCGCCCCGCCGGCGGCGGCGGGGGCTGGGGGAGTGCGCGTGAGCGTGCGCGGGGGCCGCGCGCTCGTCGTGAATACGGACCCCGACGCGACGGATTCGTCGGACGACGAGCAGGAGTTTGACTATAACGCGGATTCGAACACGTGGACTTATCGCTTCCTCTCCGCTCCGTTTCCCAGTGCCCGCAGCGGCACCAGCGTCGATGCTAACGGTTATTCTCAATCTGGAAAGGCGGCGGCGGCGGCGGCGGCGGCGGCGGCGGCGGGGGCGGGATCGTGGGCGAGGCGATCTCGGGCGAACTGGTGGTCTGCTTCGGGCGCGGCAGCGGAAGCAGCAGGGGCGGCGACTGGGCACAGCGCGGGCGCTTATGTATCGTATGCTTCTGCGCCATCACCCATGGGCGCAATGGGCGCGATCGGCGCCATGTCCGCAATCGGCGCAACTGGCGCAACGGGCGGAACGGGCGGAACGGGCGCAATGGGCGCAATGGGTCCTGGAGCTGCGTACTACTATCCCTACCGCGCATGGCGACCGAGCGACGATCGATTCGCGTCTCAATTCTCCTCTCGCGAAGGACACCTTGTGCCCGCGCGCGCGCCCCCGCCGTCCGCGCATGTGCCGCCATTTCAGATGCAGCCGTTTCCGCCCGTTGCGCCAGTCACTCCCGCCTCGCCCTCCCGCGCGCCTCCACCGGCTGTGTCAGCATTGCGTGACGGTGCGCTATTCGCTGCGCCGGCGTGCTGCGCCCCTGCCTCCGCGACCTCCGCGCGCTGCTCGTCCCGCGAGCTATATGCGCAGTCCGCTCCGCACATGGGCGGGGATCTGCCCGCCGCCTTCCCCTACTATCCCTACCCTCCTTTTTCCGCCGCGTCCGCGCCGCCTACCGTGGGGATGCCGCCGTGCGGAGTGGCGGGGTGCTACGACTGGGCGTGCAGGCGCTGGCAGGGGGGCGCGGGCGCGCCGATGCCCCTTCCGCCTCCCGCGCCTCCGCCGCTTCCGCCGCCGCTGCCCGCGTGCTGCTACCCTGTGAACGGCAGCCGCGCGTGCGGTAACTTGCATGCGGAGGGCGGCGCTTTGGACGGTGCCGTGGGCGCGCCGATGAGCGGGTTGACGCATGGGAGGCCCGCGCAGCAGCTGGGCGCGCAGCAGGTGGGCGCGCAGCAGCAGCAGCCGCCGCTGCAGCAGCGCAGCGCGGCGGCGATGGCGGCGCAGCAGGCAGTGGCGCAAGCCGGGGGGGAAGCGTGGGGTATGGAATGGCGCGGGGAGGAGCAGCAGGGGAGGAAGGAGGAAGTGATGGGAGGGGCAGGAGAGAATAATCATGTTATGGCGCTGCCTGAAGGACTGGCAGCAGGCGCGGCAGCATGTGCAGCAGGGTGCAAGCACGAGGAGGAGCGGTTGAGTGCGATGCAGTGGACAAGCAACAAGGAGCCGTATCCTCGCTCCTTCTCTCCTGCTCCTGCTCCTGATGCTGCTGCTGCTGCTGCTTCGAGTGCGCCAGGGCCCGTGTCAGGGGTCGCAACGGCAGCAGCAGTAACAGCAGCAACAGCAGTAGCAGGGGCGCGGGTGCGATCGTCAGCATCACCACCATCTGCAGGTATGCATGCGGTCTCACCACGTGCTGAAGCAGCAGCAGAAGCAGCAGCCGGATCAGAAGCAGCAGCAGGAGCGGACGCAGCAACGCCAGCAGCAACAACCGTTACGACGTGCGGTTACCGCGGGGTGCGGCAGCGGCCGTGGGGCAAGTGGGCAGCGGAGATCCGCGATCACACGCGTGGGGTGCGCGTGTGGCTGGGCACGTACGACTCTGCTGAGGCTGCTGCCCGTGCATACGACGCTGCTGCCCGCGCCATCCGCGGTCCTCATGCCAAGACCAATTTCGCTCCTCTTGGAGATGAGGGCGGGGGTGTGGGAGAGGATGGGAGTGGCGGGAATGGTACTGGCGGTGATGGTGGTGGTGGTGGGGATGCTGGTGGTGGTGCCGGTAGTGGTGGTGGCGGGGGCAGTGACGGGGGCGGCAACAGCAGCAGCAGCAGTGGTGTGTGCAGCGGTGGATCTGCTCCTTGTTTTGCACCTGCTCCCCCTGCTACCACTGCTCCAACTGCTGTTGCTGCTCCTGCAACTGTTGCTGCTGCTGTCGCTGGTTCTGCTGTCTCAGCTGGAAAAGAGGCGCTGGCCGGTGTTCCTGTCACGTGTCCTGTCACCACCAGTGCTGCTGCCCGCACGCCACGCTCCACCTCAGGCAGAACGGCAGCAGCAGGCATAGCGGGATCAGGAGCGCGCGCTGCCACTCGCTCTGATGACGCCACGTGCGCCAGATGCAGACCGTTCAAGCGCCGGTGTGGAGAAGCATCCGTGGCAAAGCGTGAGTCCGCAACGGCTCCCACTCGCAGATGGGTTGCTGGAGACAGCATCCCTGCACCTCCTGCACCAGCAGCACCAGCGGGAGCAGCAGGAGCAGCAGGAGCAGCAGCAGAAGCGCCGGCAGCGGAAGGAGCGGCAGCAGCAGCAGCAGCGGAAGTGGCAGAAGCACGTGCCAAGGTGCTTCCTCGAGAGCACAAGACACACAAGCCGCTGGTGGCTCCAGCAGCAGCAGCAGCAGCCACTGCAGGTGACGTTGCTGGGCCGCACACAAAGGCAGCAGGAGAGGCAGAGGGAGAGGCAGAGGGAGGCACGGGTGGGGCAGGCGGTGGGGTGGAGGTGGAGCGGCGTGGGTGTGGGTCGTTTGAGAGCGCGGCAGCGTCGGGCGTGTCTGACGATGCCTTGCCGCTGCTCCCCTCTGTGCCTGCTGCTAACACCGCTTCCGCTGCCACCGGTGCTGCTGCTGCTGCTGCTGCTGCTGCTGCCGTTGCTGCTGCCGGTGCTGGTGCTGGTGGTGGCGGTGGCAGTGGTGTGGGCGTGGCGTCTGCATGTGTGCAGGACCTTGACGACATCTCCTGTGCACTCTTTGGTGGCGGCGGTGACGACGACAGCGACGAGGGCCTGCTGCTGCTGCACGGGGACCTGAGCTTAGACGCGTTTGACTTGCACATGGATGTGGATGGCATGGATGGCATGGCGCAGCTTGATGACCTGAATGACTTGGATGAGTCGAGTCGGGAGGAGGAGGAGCAGGCGGACAGGGAGGGGTATGTGGGAGAGGGGGAGGAGGGACAGGAGGGCAGAGAGGAAGGGGGAGAAGGAGGGGGAGAGGGGGTGGAGCTGGAGCTTCTGGGGAATGAGGTGGAGAGGGGGTTTGTTCTTGATGATGCGGATTTTGACCTGACACTGGAGCTTGAGCAGGAGGAGCTGGAGGCCATGACACTGGACAATGCCGAGGCGGAGGAGGGGAACGGATTTCAAGGGAAGCGCAACCATGCTGCTGCTGCTGCTGCGTCGCTGGGGATGGGTGTGGAGGTGGGCGGGGCGGACGGCGGGGCGGAGGAGGAGGAGGAGTTGGTGGGGGGGGAGTTGGAGCTGTTGGAGGGGTTGGACTGTGAGGGCATGGCGTTCAACTTCATGGCTGAGATTGACAGCGTGCTGCTGCTGCATGACTCCTGTGCTCTTGACGCTGCTGCTGGTGCTGCTGCTGGTGGTGCTGCTGGTGCTGCTGGTGCTGGTGCTGGTGCTGGTGCTGGTGCTGGTGCTGGTGCTGGTGCTGGTGCTGGTGCTGGTGTGGGTGCTGGTGGTGGTGTTGGTGGTAATGGTGGTGGTGAGCGGGTTGCTGAGTTTACTGGGCAGCCGGAGAGGCACAGCAGGGCGAGAGAGGGGGAGGGCCATGGCAGTGGGTATCGCAGCAGGTTTGAGAAGAGCAGGAAGCCGGAGGGAAGCAGTGAGGTGGGGAGGAGGAAGAGCAAGAGCCGCAAGCACAAGAAGCAGCACAGCAGCAGCTCGTACAAGGCCAAGAAGTCCTCTTCCAGTAGGAGTGGCAGTGGCAGCGGCAGCGGAAGTGGCAATGGCAATGGTTTTGGTCGTGCTTCGTCTTGGTCCAGAAGTCGCAGTTATGATGCTGGCACATACAGAGAAGCCATTGCTGCTGCTGCTGTGGTGCCAAAGCAGAGTAGCTGGTCGGAGGGGTGCAGGGATGGAGCGCGTGCTGTGGTTGCTGCTGCGAGCGACCTGTTTGAGTGGAGTGGGCCCATGTGCGATGCTGGCGATGGCATGGTGGAGATCTCCTTTGGCCTGGACTGATTGAATGTGACACTGTTGTTTAGATCGGGATGAATCATCATGTTCAACAAGCAGAAAAGGGGAGTTCTGTTCTGTGGCATCTCGGAGGCTGTGGGTCACACTGGGAGGTGAGATTGGTGGTTGAGCATGCGTGTATCATTTTAGGACCTGGGAGCATGTGTGTTTAGCTTTGGGTTGGTTGTTGGGGCCCACATGGGGCACATGTGGGCTTGAGCCAACCCCGATGTTAGTCCTAGTTGGGCCACATGGGTCCTACGGTAGTGTTCTTTTTGTATGGTTCTTTTTGTGTTAGTGAGCATTTTGTTGTTTACGGAATTGTAAAACAAGAAAATCCAACTAAAGAACGCAACAGAAAGTTCGGTAACACTCAGACGCGAAACGAAAGTCTTCGTAACTTAGGGCGTGTTACATTTTTTAAAAGCTGTAAAAGTACGAACAACCGTCTGAAAACGGTTCAGATTCCGAACATCTGACAGTTCGAGTCGAGCGTCCGGACAAAGCCTCGTCCGACGCTGTTTATGAAACTTTTTCAGGCTTACGAAAATAGTCGTATTTACGAGATTGTAACCATGATACACGACATTGTAACGAAATAGGTTACAGCCAGGCGATTTGAAGAAATGAGTTCGTCAACCAATAAAATTGCATTACTGCGACGTCCGTCCACTTAATGAACGGTAACGTCCGGTCGATTTGTGAAGGCAATTTAACGCAAAATGTTTCATCAGCAGTCCGAACGTTAACGACGTCGCAACTGATCTTACGAAGGAATACGCGAGTAAAGACGAAATTGGTAACCACTAAAATGTCCCGACGATGGCTCGTCCGGACAGGTCAACTAATAAATGTAACACGCCCTTACCGCACCCCACCCCACCCTTCCTACGGTCTTCCTGTCCTGCCCCTGCTCCCGCACCATGTGGACCGCTGCTGCAAACACAGCAACAGCAGCACCCACGCCCTACTCGATTCGATAGCCAGTAATCAGTATTTCTTTCACCTCACCTCACCTCTCACCTGCCTGCCCCTACCCTCCCACCCCAGTCCCACACCACACCAGCTGGTCTTTCACCTCGCAGCAGCGCTCCTCCCTCACTTCCCCTCCCCTCGCCTCACTGCATCTTTACCAACTCCCTCATTCCATTCCTCTACCCACAAAACACAAGCTTTCTTCCGCGGTCCAGCAGAGCTTTCGACAAGGACGCGTATTCCACGCACTGGTCTCCCAAGTGCATACCTCCCTCCGTAGCTTCTGGTCATCTTTACCACTGGATTCTCGCGCTTGTCATTTCTTTCGATTTGATAGAGGAGTGCTGCAAGCGCAGGTCCGCCTCTGCTTCACAGGTATGACCCCAGCGTGCCCTTTCCCATCAGCTTCCGTGATTTTTTTGTTTTTTCCTGTCCTTTTAATCTACTTTCATAAACGGCAGGTCCGCCTCTGCTTCACAGGTATGACCCCAGCGTGCCCTTTCCCATCAGCTTCCGTGATTTTTTTGTTTTTTCCTGTCCTTTTAATATACTTTCATTCGCACCGCGTTTGAGGAAGAAGCATCTCAGCTAGTGAATGCGTTTTTTTCTACTCCATTCATTGCATTCCCGACATTCCCCTGACTCGGCTACTGCATCAACTGAAGAGGCCATCATCTGTGGTTCCACGACGTAGCTTCGCTGGATCTGTCTCCGCATGCTTTCATACAAGTTGCGCGGAAACTTGTTGGGGATAGTGGAGCCGTTAGGTGGGAGCAATAGCGGTAGTATCGCGCTTGTCGGGCTGCGGAACCGGTCGCGTCGCGTAGATCGCGTTAATGCATTCGCGGTCACCACCTGTAGAAGACGTCATTTGCGGCGTCGCTGTGACGAGATCGACTGTTGCGAGATCGTGATTCAACTGACGAGATCGTGGCCCCCAACATGCGACCACCGTGCGACCACCGTGACCTCGACATTCCGCCATTCTGCAAATCCTTTCCCTCTCTCGCTCTCGCTCTCTCTCTCTGTCTCGCTCCCGTGCTCCTTAATCTCCGCGCGCATCTGGATCGACGCCGCTGTTCTCCGTGCCGCGACAGCGCCGAGGTGACTTTTGCGTCGGCGTGGCCCAGAAGCCATGTTGACGGCGTCCGGTTCATACGTCGAGTCGAGTCGACTGCCGCCATTGTTGATTCAGCCGTGAAGGGGCGAATCTAGCGAATGTTCGATGCCCTTTTACGGGACACATCGATGCGCTTTTTGAGGCGCAACGTTGATTCATCCTCGATGCCCATCCTTGCACCGCACTACCCCTCGTAATCACAACGAAACCGTACCGTCACGTTTATCATATGCGCCTTGCTGACTAGCCCTCGACCGCGTTGGGACCGTTTCGCCGTGTTTTAACCAGGACGGGATGAACAAAATCGGCGTCATCCCAGCGACCTCGTGTTTTATTCTCCTCCTTATGATACCTCGACTTAATACTGCAATCTCATAGGCGCGAAACGCGATGTAGACAGTTTCGTGTGGTTATGAAAAGCGAGCTTTGATCCTCCCATATAGCGTATTTCCACATGTAAACCCCCCGTCTCTCTCCTCCCTCTCCCACTCCGCTCCTCTTTCCTCCTCTCCCTACAACTTCCCCTGCTTCACCTTTCTTACCAGTGTGCGTCTCCTTTTTTTCCTCCGTCCGCCACTATTTCTGCCATCCCTCTTCGTTTCTCGCATGCCCTCCTCCCGCCACGCCCCAGCAGAACCGTCTCCGCAACCCCCCTCCACCAACATCGCAGTCTTCCCCAGCTCCGGTGCGCCTCGCTTTCCTCACAATCGCCACTACCTGTCCTATTCAACGGCCAAGATTCGCCGATCGTAGCTGCAAGTGGGACGTAACGTGGGGCCGTGGGGACGGGGAACGTCTGGAGAGGCTGCTTTGCAGGGACGGGGTTTGTTACTGGTAGTTGCTGGAGATGTGCTGAAACTGCTAGTTACTACTACTCTTACTGGCGGAGTAGAGGACTACTGACGAGGGGGGTTTCTTGCCCCACCCTAGCGCGTTGCCTGTACGGTCTACCCAGTCCTGAAGATTCACCGGTCCTCCTGCTCTGCACAGGAAGCGCCACTAGAGGGCTCTGATTAAGTCTCGCTCTCGTCAAGGCCAGCTGCACTCTTCTTCTGGTTCCACTGCAGTGCAGTCGTCCTGCTCTCCACCACTCTCCTCCACAGGCCCTTCCTGCCTCCAACCACCACTACTCCGTCCCGTCCAGCTCCTCATGGCTTCTGGGGTGGAAGACCCCAGCAGCACCACCACCACCACCACCAGTGATAACAGCAGTACCACCCTGGCCATGGGGGGAACTGATGACGGAGCTGCACCCGCTTCAGGCCCCGCCTCCCCCCCTGCGACCATCCCCCATGCGCCAGCCGCGTTTGGCTCCCCCTCCGCCGCCGCCCAGCCCCCTCCTGGCGCTGCTGCTTCCCCCTCGGGCGCTAATGTGCGCTCCTCCCCATCCTCCTCCGCCACCGCTGCTGCAGCCACGATAGCGAAGCTGTCTATCGGCCCCACGCCGCTCATGCTCCCTGCCACAGCCGCTCGTGGGAATATTCCTGAGTCCCCTGGTCCGGTGTTTGGGGTGGCACCTTCCCCAGGTGTGCCTGCCTTCGCCCCGCCCTTTGGGGCCAAGTTCACGGATAGGGGCGGGAGTGTGGGCGCGAGTGCAGGAGGAGGGGGCGGAGGAGGAAGCAGTGGGGGGAGAGTGGGGGAGGAAGGTGGTGAAACCGGTGGTGGAGGCGGAGGAGGAGGGGGAGGAAGGGGCGGGAAGCAGCAAGGGAGAACAGTGGGAGGGAGAGGTGTGAGGGGGATGGAGGGAGTGAAAGAGGATGAGGCTGAGGGGCGAGATGTGGAAACGGTTGCTGCTGGGGGTGGGGTGGGTGCAGGTGGTGGTGGTGGTGGGTCCAGCACAGGAATAGGAGGATCAGCAGGGTTGAATGGGGCAGGGCACCAGCATCAACAGCAACCACACGGGCATCACTCGCAGGCACATGGGCACGGGCATGCCCATGGGAATGTGCATGGGCATGGGCATGCTGTGGGTCATGTGCATGCACATGGGCACGGGGAGCGGCATCATGGGGCGAGTGCAGGGTCAGCAGCAGCAGGGTCAGCGGCAGCGGCAGGCGGAGGGGCAGGAGGAGCAGCAGCAGCAGCGGTGGCGGGTGCACGGCCGCGGCTGAGAGTGGCGTATGAGGGCAACAGGGATGAGGGGTCTCTCATGGCCAGCAGCATGAAGTTTGCTCCCACTCCCAGACAAAAGGACCCGCCCAACCGCTCCATGGGGCGGTAGAATCAGGTGGGGAGGGGTGCTTCTATTTGAGGCAAGTGACGGACATGACTCTACGTGTGCATTGTTCCCTCCCCCGCTTCTTCCCTGGCCCCTTTCCCTCCTGCTCATGCTACCTAATGCTCATTGCATGTCTCCACTACATGCCTCCTTTTTACCATTTCTCACACAGTTCTCATGCATTTGACCGTTAATGCCTGCCCCCGTGTGGTGTGGTTCCCTGCAGATCCATTGTGTAGCATGCTGCTGGGCCACAAGCAGTGCTTGTCAACTCGAATTGACTGGAGTTGTAGGCATGCGTACAAAATCGGTGACGAGAATTGAAGCACATTTGGTTGGAGGCGTTGCAGATGGAGAAAATGGTTGGTTGGTTGGTTGGTAACCAATAGTTACTCCTCTAATTTAACCATGAGGATTTCTTTTGCTGAGATGATCTCCTGCGTAGGTTATTTCTATCAAGCTCTAAACCAGATTGCTGGAGGAAAAGGTTGGTTCATAACCATGCGGATCACTTCAAGGATTTTGCTTCAAGGATAATCAAGTTCGTTATTAAAAAGCTATGAACTGCATTGTCACGTGACTGATTTGCCATTTTGGTCCCCTGCTGGGATGGTTGTAACGGGTCTTTGGTGCCCCTTCATTCGTCGGCCAGCCCCACTTTCCGTGAACCAATCATCGCGCTTCTCTTCCAAACCACGAGGAGACCCGATGAGCTTCGGCGACTGGCTGATTCGAGCAACCCAAAGCTGGGCTCGCTATCGTCGAGTCAGCAGCGCAGCTTGGGGGTCTCGATCACTGATGAGCTGTCGGTCACGAACTTCTTCCTGCCCGCGCATCGTTCTCGAGGCGTTCGATCGATTGGCGGGAAATCAATTAGACAATTTCTCCCCCAGAAGATGATTTTCTGTTGCTGACCACACTCATGCTGAAGCGTATCGGTTGACACGAGTTACGGGAAGCATCTTGCCTGTCTCAAAATGCACCACACTGGGAAGAAAACGGGTTCACAAAAACGGGTTATGGCAGCCGCCTTGTCATTGGTTGACGATCTCCTCTTTTCGCGAGCACAAACAATTTGTCAATGGTATCCTAGCTGCGCCTATTTCGACAAGGTTTCGCGAATCCAGAAACAGCCCTAAAAACTATTACGATACAGCCAAGTATCACGCCCTAAATTGGCGACAATCGCGCGGCCGTCAATCCACCCAAGGTTGCAACCACGAGGTCATTTTCACAAGAGCTCAGCTACAAACCTGATGAAAGCAGTTCAGGGGCGACTAGTTCTGAGTCCTGACATGAGCTTGGCCCGCCTCTTTCTTTCCTCGCCCTTACTAACTCCTCCGCGCCCTAGCCTCCGCAGCCATGGCCCCTTCCAGGGCCATCTCCGCGGCCTACGCTCGCAACGCGCTCGTTCTGTCGCTCTTTCTGGCGATTACGATTCCCGCAATCCACGCGCTTTCAGATCCGCACGATATCCGCCATTCCGCCTCGTCCGCGAGCGACTCCCCCGCCTCCCCCGTGTCTTCCGCTTCCGCCTCCGCCGCCGCCCCCAACACTTCATTCTCCTCCACTCCAATCCCCTCCTCCCTGCTCGCGGCGCTAGATCCAGTCACGCGACTCGCCAAAACCGCGTCGCGGTCATTTGCGTCGCTCTACCCGCCATCACCGGACGCTAACACGCTCGAACCAGGCAGCCCGGAGTACTTAAACCTATTCGTACAGGAAACGACCTTCTACAACCACCTCATACTCTCCTTCCTGCCTTCCTCCTTCGTCTCCGCGCTCCCGCACTTCCTGCAAACCTGGCTGCGCAACTACGTCGCGGGTTGCCTCTTATATCTCATCGGATCGGGGCTATGGAGCATCGTCGTTTACTCGCTCTTCGGCTGGTACCTCTATTCGGGTCCCGACGACATCCCGTCGCTTAAAGCCATGTGGCGGCAGATCAGCGTGTCGATGCGCGCGATGCCGCTCTACACGCTCCTGCCGACCATCTCGGAGCGCCTCGTCGAGACGGGCTGGACGCGCTGCTACAGCCAGATCCGCGAGACGGCGGCGCCGCGCTACATGCTGGGGCTGCTGCTGTACATGCTGATCGTGGAGTTCGGCATCTACTGGGCGCACCGCCTGCTGCACGACATCAAGCCGCTCTACACGCACCTGCACGCGATCCATCACATCTACAACAAGCAGAACACGCTCTCTCCGTTCGCAGGTACGCCTGCACTCCCCGACGCACCGCTGCCATGCGTTCCGCCCTTCCCCCCGCGCCCCCTCTTTCTCCCCTTGCCGCCCCCGCCTCCCCTCGTCCGCCCTCTTCCCGCGACGCGAGTGCTCGCGCGCCCTAAACGTCGCCCGCGCCCCGCGCCTCCCGCTCGTGCTCGCACGCGGGATGCGCGGAAGGGCTGCGATCAACAATTGCGCGGATCAAGATCCGATCGCGTCGCGTTCGCGCAGATCAAGCTAGTGGATGTACGCGGGTTTTAGATCTGCATCTGTTGCAGAGAAACCATTCCTGATCTTGATCTTTGCGTTCCTTCTTACTCACATGCGCAAGAACATGGAACATGGAGTGAAGAGAACAGCGCGCTATACGGCAGCCAGTGCGGAAGCGAACGCAGTGAGACCAGACAGCACTATCGCCCCACGAGGCTGCGAAAAGAAATTTACTGAGTGCTGGTGCCTTGCGGCTAGCCCACGTGGCCCACTTGGCCCTCTCCCATCGCCCTTTTCCCCTTCCCCCCCGCCCTTCTCCCCTCTCCCCTCTCCCCTCTCCCCTCTCCCCTCTCCCCTCTCCCCTCTCCCCTCTCCCCTCTCCCCTCTCCCCTCTCCCCTCTCCCCTCTTCCCTCTCCCCTCTCACCGTTCCCCTCGCCCCTCGCCCCTCGCCCCTCGCCCCTCGCCCTTCGGAACGAGCTTTGAGTCAATATAGCGTTTCGCCTTTGCAACGACTCTAGAGAACCTTGTTCTCGAATCCCCAACCCATGGATTGCCATAATGCAAACTTTGTGCCAGCACATGCATCCTATCTCCCCATACCCATACCAAGACCGCACCAACCTTGTCCCCTTTTCCTCTACCCTTCCTTTCCCACCACCTCCCGTCACTCACTCTTGTCCCATCCCCAATCTTGCTCCTCGTTCTCTCCTCATGTGCTCGATTCGCCACTCCTCTCATCCCCCCACCCCACGCCTCGGCATCCACACCATCCAGACGCTGTCCACCAGGCAGGCTCTTATCCAACCAAACTCTCCTTCCCCAACCCACCCACACACTTCACCCCCCTATCCTTCTCGTTCGAGAACCTTCAACAACCTTCAACAGTAATTCAGGCCCATGCTTCTCGTTTCCTCCTCTCAACCCCTACCCACCCCCCCTCCCACCCCCCTCTCCTCCTCATCCTCTCAGGTCTGGCGTTCCATCCTCTAGACGGCATCATCCAGGCCCTCCCCCACGTGCTTTCGCTCTTCCTCATTCCAACTTACTTGATCACGCTCCTGCTGCTGCTCTTCGCGGAGGGCATATGTACCACCATTCAACGTGCTGTTCATCATGGCCGCCAAGTACCCAAGGGTCCACTCAAAAGTCACCTCCCAACAACCCTCCCTCTTTCGTCTCACCCCTCCCCGCCCACCCCTTTCCCCCCGCTTTCAGGTTTGGCGTTCCATCCGCTAGACGGCATCATCCAGGCTCTCCCCCACGTTCTTTCCCTCTTCCTCATCCCCACGCACTTCACCACGCACCTCCTCCTTCTCTTCGCCGAGGGCATCTGGACCACCAACATACACGACAACCTGCACGGCAACGTGCTGTTCATCATGGGCGCCAAGTACCATACGATTCACCACACCACGTACCGGCACAACTACGGGCACTACACTGTGCTGTTTGACTGGCTGTTCGGGACCCTGCACTCGCCTGAGCAGTATGAGGAGGAGCGGCGGCGGGCGAAGGGGAAGGCTAAGGTGGTGGAAGGGGAGGAGGACAGCCGGGAGGGGAAGAAGGTGAAGTGAGGGGGGGGAGGAGGAGAGAGAGGGTGAGGAATGAAGAGGGGGTTGGGAGGGGAGGGGGCTGCGGAGGATGGGGAGGTTACTAAGAGCGTGTGGGTGGTTGGGGGGATGGCTCATAGGTTTAGGCATCACCAGTGTAGAAAGACTGACTCAGTGAAACAGGCTGCGCGCCTGATACAGGCACATTCGGTGACCTGTGTCTGCTCCAGTGCTTATGTGAATGTGTATGTGCGTGTGCTACTCGCAGTGACAGCGAGGGCTGGGTTGGGTGCGGCTGCGGGTTGGCCTGTGGCGAGCTCATTGGGAGCCATGGGCTGCTCATAAGGTCGAGAGTGAAGAAGGGAAGGAAGGGAAGGGAGTGAGCAGGTCGTGGCCCCAGGTGTACTGTGCACTTCAATGTGCAGGTGGCTGTCAGAGGCTCAACGCAGAGTTATGTGGTGGAGCATGTTTGCTGCTGCTATGTGGTTTTCATGTTTTGTTACAAATTTTGTCCTGGGATTGTGGTAGGAGCAGCCTGAGTGTTGCTTTGACTCAGGCTTGTGCATGCAGGGACAGTAGTAGGATTTGGATAGCCAGGGGGTAAAGATGTGGGAACAGGATAGGGTCGAGTATAATTTATTGGTAACTTGTACGGTACGTGAGAGAAGGCATGCTTAGGCAAAAGCTGTGACTAAATTCACATTCGTACACCCAGTAATTCTGGTGGATTGAGTTGTAACAGCATGGGTGGCACTACACACGGCATGGATGGCATCACACATGGCATGGATGGCATCACACACGGCATGGATGGCATCACACATGGCATGGATGGCATCACACACGGCATGGATGGCGGGATGGATGGCATCACACACACAAAAGATGCATTGCTGAGTGGAGCACAAGAAGATGAAGACACTGCACTTTAGAAATACCAACGCACTGCACTGCACTACGCTTTGATGTACCCCACTGGACCATTATGCAATGCACTGCACTACTACTGTCCAATGCTGCATCGTTAGGGAGTGAACTGTACATGGTGTGTGTGTGTGTGCGTGTGCATGTGTGCCAGACCACACCCCAGCACAAGCAGGCAGAGGAAAGTGGTGGAGTGGGCGGCGGTCATACCACGAGTGATGGTGAGTGAGTGGTAGGGCACGTGCAAGGACAAGGGGATATGTGCAAAGGTGCTGTATGCATGCACACAGTTGTGCGGGGGTTATTTGAGCGAGTCATGCAGGTCCTTGTGCGTGGCCTGGTAGCGTGATAGCAGGTAGTGGCCGCTCGTGGTTGGGGGAAACCTGGAGTGCCGTGGGGGAGAGGTAGGTGGAGACGAGTGAGAGGGGTGTGGGGCGTGGGAGGATAGAGGGTGTCAGGAGAGGAGGGAGAGGAGTGGGAGGAGAAAGAGGGACACGAGTTAGAGGAGGGAGATGATTGATAGGAGGGAGATGATTGATAGGAGGGAGATGATTGATAGGAGGGAGATGAATGATAGGAGGGAGATGATTGATAGGAGGGAGATGATTGATAGGAGGGAGATGATTGATAGGAGGGAGATGGCTGACAAGAAAAGGGGGAGGAGTGGCCATGCAGAGGGATCCACACAAGTTGCAACGTAGCTTTGAGACGTCTCAAAACAAGTTGCAATATTTGTCAGGAGGAGCCACAAGGTACCAAGGAAAGGGGGAGCGGCGTGAGCATGTCTGTAGCAGATCTACATTGCATAAGTCCAGGTTTACCCCAGGTAGTAGACAACCAACACCGTGCCGTACCGTGCAGGGTTGGTGTCGTCGACGCAAGAGGGAACACACTCCACAAGGCAGTCGAAGTACCATATACGCAGGACTGCATAGCATCAGCCAGTGCTTGTACCATACTGTACATACCATACCGTAGTTTGTCATTCCGTGCAAAACCATACCGTGCAGGGTTGGCAGCATCGACGCGAGAGGGCACGCACTCCACAAGGCAGTCGAAGTTGGGCTCAAAGAAGAACGGCAGCGACACCCTCCCCGCTGCCAACACCTCACTGCCGCCCTGCCCCCCACCACTGTCCCCACTGCCACCAGTGTCACCAGCATTATCATTGCCTGTGGCAGCACTGCCAGCGGTATGACCCTCAACCCCACATGCACTGGTGCTGCCGCCACCATCCTCCCCCTCCCTTTCCTCCCCATGCGGCAGCACGAGCACGCGGTGCAGGGTGGAGCGCCATGTGGCGTTGCTCCAGCGCTCCAGCATGTCGCCTATGTTCACAATGTACGTGCCTGGTACCACTGGCACGCGCACCCACTGCTGTGGTGTGCTGCTGCGATCCACACAGATCTGGAGAGAGCAGCAGGGAGCAGGGAGGAGCAGGCAGCAGGAGCAGGGAGCAGGGAGAGGTTGCTGATAGTTTTGAATACAGTGAAGCGTGTAAAACGTAAGTGATTACCCCCACTTTTGCTCTTCCTGCAGTGCCTGTCCTACTCCATGCCGCCCTATCCCCCCTCGGAAAGGGTGAGCGTTGATGCCCATGGAAAGAGTCATTTCAAGTCGACTCAAAAACCACTGCGAGCGCCCGTTCCCAGCACGCTCTCCTGCGATTTACTTTCCGTTGAAGAACAGCGTGCACAAGAACAGCGTGCACAAGAACAGCGTGCACAAGAACAGCGTGCACAAGAACAGCGTGCACAAGGTAAAGATCGACTGACCCCTCCTCGCTTTCCCTCCCCTCTGGTCCACCTCCCTTCCCTTCCCCCCTCTCCCCTCCCTTCCCCAACCGCCCCTCTCTTCCCCTCCCCATTCCCCATACACTCCATCCCACCTCCAGGCCGGGGTGTGACACGAGCAGCAGGGTGAGCATGCCATAGTCCGTGTGAGCGCCCGCCCCCAACACGCCCTCCTGTGGCCGAGACGCCTCCCCCGAGTAGTGCAGCAGCCGCAGCAGCGCTATTGGGTCGTCGAATCTTCCGGGCAGATTGAAAAAGTCCCGCGGCTGCCCGAGCGCGAGCGCGAGGATGGGGAGGAGGCGGCGGGCGAGAGAGAGACAGGCGGCGAAGTAGGCAGAGATGGTGGGACGGAAGGCGGGGAGGAGGCCTGGTGGGGTGTGGGGGGATAAGGGAGGAGGGGTGGAGAAAGGGAAGTAGGGCAAACAGAGAATAGATTATGGAGAGGAGGTGGTGGAGAGGAGGGGTTGGAACAGGGGGGAAAGGGAATATATGTCTAACCGGTGAAGGAGAGGCAGACGGAGAAATAGGCAGACGGTGCTTCTCCTGGTGCTTCCCCTGGTGCTTCCCCTGGTGCTTCCCCTGGTGCTTTCCCTGGTGCTTCCCCTGGTGCTTCTTTAAGTGCTTCCTCAGGCGCTGCCTGGCTCAGAGAACACCCCTAGCACAACACAACTCGGCGAACCTTGAGGCGGCCACACGTTGGGGCCGTGCAGGGGCTTGGCAGCACGGGGGTCGTGCGGGGGGATGTCCACGCCCACGTAGTAGCCCTCCTTGGTGTCGCCGCGCTGCCCCTGCACCGCCGGATCCAACACCTCCTCCTCGAATGCCGTGTACCCGCGGTTGTTGCTGTCCTGAAGGGGGGGGGAGAGAGGGGGTGGGGAGGGGGGGAAAGGTGGGGGGAAGGGGAGCCGCGGATGGAATGGGACAGAGTGGGGGGAGAGGGAGACAATGGAGAGGGGGACACTGGAGAGGGGGAGGATGGCAGGGAGGGACGGACAGGAGAGGAATGTGGGGAGGGCAGGTCAAAGGGGAGACGACATAAAGGAGAGGGTGAGGGAGTGAAGGGGTGAGGGGGGTTGAGGGGAGAGAGCGTGAGGGGAGAGAGCGTGAGGGGAGAGAGCGTGAGGGGAGAGAGCGTGAGGGGAAAGGGAGGTGGGCGGGAAGAAAATGGATAGAGAAAGTGCGAAGTCCGAGGATTTGCAACGAGTGATGATGGGCAGCAGCGAGGAGGAGGGGAGAGTGAAAGAAGAAAGTGAGCTGGGTGGAGACGGCAACGGGAGTGATTGGGAGGGAGAGAGAGTTGGAAGGATGACTTTTGAGTTGAATCAACAGTCACCTTGGGAGGGAATGAGAGCTGAAAGGGAGCGACGAAGTGGAACGAGAGGCCACACCACAGCAGAGAAAGGAGGTTGGGTGATGTGGTGCTGCCCGCGCACATGCCACATACCCATGGCTATGTTCCTTCCTTCCCCCCCACTTCACCTGCTTTCTGCCCACTAATTTCCCTCTTTTTTGGCTATGCCCATGCCAGGAAACATGCTGTGCAAACCTGGCGCACAGCCGCCTTGCGGGTTGCAACAGCCCATGCTCATGTGCCGCACAGCCACTCACCTGGCGCACAGCCGCCCACTAGGCGACAACCCGTGCTCACGTGCCCCACCCACCCCACCTGGCGCACAGCGGCCCCACCAGCCCATGCCCAAGCGCCCCACCTGGCGCACAGCGGCCTTGGCTTCAGCGGGCAGGCCGAAGAGCAGCCTCGTCTGGTGGAAGGCGTCGGCGATGAGCTGACGTGGCACGCCGTGATTGGCCAGCAGGAAGAAGCCGACCTCACGGCATGCCTGGAGGGGCAGGGGGGAAGAGAGGACAGGAAGGAGGGCGCAAGGGGAAGGTGCAGAAAAGAGGGCGCAGGGGGAAGGGCGCAGGGGGAAGGGCGCAGGGGGAAGTGCGCAGGGGGAAGTGCACAGGGGGAAGTGCGCCGGGGGAAGTGCGCAGGAAGAAGTGCGCAGGGCAGGGGGGAGTGCGCAGGGGGAAGCGCGCAGGGGGCAAGGCAAGAGGGGAGAGTGAGTGAATGGATGGATGCACCATGGGAGGATGGCGATGCGACAAGCATGTGACGGCAATGGGGAAGGGGCGGAAGATGATGAGCGCAAAGATAATCAAGAGGCCGCTGTCTCCTGGAGGAAGGGGGAACGAGGGATGGGGAGGGGGAGAACAGAGGGGAAGACCGGGGAGGAAGGGTTGGGAGGACGGGGGAGGTAGACGGGGAAAGAGGAAGGGAGACTAGCATGTGTATGAGTCGCTTTTGAGGAGTGTTAACGGCAAGAGTTGAGAGGACAGCGCAGCAATAGCGGTTGTTTTTTAATGACTGTTATTAACTCTCAAAAGAGGTGTCAAGCTCGCGTCGCCTTCACTGCTTCGTCGTCGCGGCGCGTCTGAGCTAGATACCACAACGCTGTCCGCACCCGCGGCCGCGTCAAAAGGCCGCAATCACAGGCCGCCGCGCTGCGCGGCTGCGACACGGCTCTTAGCGCGATGTCCGCACGGTATCAGCGGGATATGCCCCGCGCGACTTCCCCCGCATCTTCTTGCCCCCCCCGTCCCCCAGCTGCGCACCTTGCTTCCGCACGCCGCCAACGGTTCCCCCCACCTTATCCACGGCGGCGGCGCACGCCGCCTCTCCCGCCGACAAGTCCACCACCGGAATTGCGCCGGCCGTTGCTGCGGGCGCTTCGCGCATCGCGACGCGTCGGGAAGGCAAAACGGCTTCGCCAAGAGTGCGAACTCGCTGCCAGGAATTCTGGTTTCAAAATCTTATAAGGGCGTATACGGATTTATGATTATGAAGAACTACAATCGTGGATGTATTCGTATGTAAAACAGTTTTACAGTTTTACTAAGTCCCAGAAACTGGCTTCACGCTTTTGAAAGAGGAAAAGGGAAAGAGGGAGAAGGAAAAGGGAAAGAAAGACACCAGAAACAACTCAAACGCAACACCCATAAAAAGCCCCATAAAAATACTCCATAAAGAAAAAACCCAACCAGGATCCCCTACCAGACGTCCCATCTCGCACCCCATTCCCCCTCGCCCCCCCCCCCCCCCTCCCCCCCAAGTCACATCTGCACATCCACCATGTAGGGGGCCTCCACCCAAAGAGGCCCGCCCTCCACCTCGACATCGTCCCTCTCCCGATCCACCAAGTCCACATTCAACCCCCCCATGGAAGACGCCGCCCGAAGCAGGATGACACGAGCTTGCGCCCGTTGTAACGCCACTCCGATGAGCGCCTTCAGAGACCCCAAAAGGTAAGCCGAGAACGAAGTGTCATCCTCCCGACAAGCCCCCCGTGACACAGCTAGCCCCACGTGCGCGTCCCCCTGCTGTCGAAGCCACCGCCGGAAGCGACCGCCGAGACACCCCCACGTCTCCACTATCAAAGGGGTGAACTGCACGCCTCGGTTCCGTGCAAGAAGAGGCGCGTAATCCCCCGTTTTGCGACGCTCCCACTCCTTTGCCGCCACGCCTATAGACCGCCCGCACTGCCCTAGCAGAGATGGAGACAGTGATAGCGGGTCCGCGACACTAATCTCTAAAGCATGAGCCTCCCCAGCCATTGGTCGTCGCACCGCTACGTCAACCCGCTTCCCCGGCAGCACCGCACTATCCTCCATCGTCACCACCCCCCCTGACGCCTTAGCGATCTTTGCCACCGCAAACTTCACCTCATCATGCACCCGAGATGGACCGTGTTGGTGCTTGCATCTCAGCGCATGATGCGGGTCTGCTGGGTCATCATACGCTGTGCCACAAACACACTTCCCCGCCACTTGCAGCTGCTGGATTGGGAGACCAAGCCGTATAGCAGCAGCAATGCCCCACTCCGCTGCAGTGAATGTGAGATCTGAATGAGCCGGAACTGCCGAAACCCATGCACCAGCCCCCGGGCCCTGAAGGGATGTGAAACGGGCCAGGGTGGCATCGTCACGAGCCAAGCGGCGGAGTGCCTGGAGCTCCTCAACAGCCAACTGCCGCTGCCGCGCCTGGAAAAGCCGAAGAGGAGGGGCCGCCACACACAGGGGTAAGTCCGGCAGCTCCTGGCGTATAGTCGCGGGCAACTGCTCAATGGCCTTGGCAAACCACGGGTCAAGAAGCTCCGCCCCCGCCGAAGTGGTGAGGTACTCTGCGAACATCGCCTCCTCGCCCGCCACCCCCAAATGTGCAATATCCCGTGCGGCCTGCGCCCACCCACAAACATAGGAGAGCGGACTCAAAGAGGCCGCCGCCCGGATCCCAAACCCTCCGAGGCGCACAGGGAGATGCAGCTGCATGCGTGCGCGCCTAGACCTGCCGGGATCCTGCTCCCAAGTGCCAGGGGGGAAAAGCTGCTCAAAGCAATCCTCCAGACAGCTGTCCCACTCTCTAAAGGCCTCCACCACCTCCGGCCGCGGCGGCATAGTCCGGGCCAGGTACATCGGCCGTGCTGAAACTGCAATAGCGAGGAGATGCGAGGCCATCTGGGGGTGGTCGAGCAGGGGGAGCCACGGCAATGGCGCCTGCAACTCGCGAAGCCGCTTCCGTAATCGGGCCCCCTCCCAATCCTCCTCCCCAATAGGCACGCCCACCACAGTAAGACCCTCCTCCTCCCGCTGCATCCCCAAAGGCAATGCCCGCTCCATATCCCCACCTCCACGCTCCCAAAACCTGCACTTGTGCGCCTGCACTTCCAGCCCCACCCACTCCAACCTCTCTCGCAGCACCCCAAAAGCCTCCAGATAACCGCTGGTCCCAGGATGTAGGTATCGTCTGCATAGCTCAAGAAAAGTAGGTCCCTGAACTCTCTAGTCACCGTCCCCAGCACCTGCTGCTGCGTGAAAGCGAAAAGAAAAGGGCCGAGCGGGTCCCCCTGTCGCGATCCTCGTGCCGACTCAAGACTCTGTACGAAAGGGCCCGCTCGGAGGTACAGGTCGCTAGGTGTCCCATAGAAGACACGCAAGAATGGGATCATTCCTGAGAAAGGCGACTCCTTCAGCCCCTCGAACATCGCGTGGCGATGAAACGAATTGAAGGCGTTCGCGACATCTATCTGCAGCGCACACCAGTCGGGGTGAGTGGCCAGCGCTGACCGGAAAGAATGAGTAAGAATCTCCACCCCGGCCCTGGTGCCCACTCCCAGCTGGTTACACGGCAGAAAATAAGAAGCCATCACAGGGCGAAGCGAGATGCAGAGAGCTCGAGCGAGGATACGCGGAAGCACCTCCCCGATCGCCACCGGCCGGACGTCACCGTTGGGTTTGGAAAGCCCGACTAGGTTGGATGCGGCGAGCCAGGGCCGAGCTCGCTCGGGGACCTGTCCCGCCACCCATTGGTTGAACACTTCCAGCAGGTGGGAGAGGCAGGAAGGTTCCGTGAGGAAAGTGTCGCGCAGATGCTCTGTGACCCATCCCGATGGCCCTGCAGCTGAGGCGCGAGCAGCTGTGTGGATAGCTCTAGCCAGAATGTCGGTCGTGAGTGGAGGCCGCTGAGGAGCGTCGACAGTAAACTCACGAACCCACGGTGGTACCTCGCCACTGCTAGCTGGGTGCTTCCCTCGCAGCGACTGCACCATAGCCTCAGTTGGTCGAGCCAACTCTCCTGCTGTGAGGCAAGACAAACCACGGCTCCACTCTCCCACTTTACACCGAGATCGGCACCGTGACAGGCGGATGGCCTCCGGGTCCTGGTCAGAGCACGTGTAGGCAAGTGGGCGAACTGCTGGCCGTGCCGCCGCCATGGCAGCGTCGAACAACTCCCGCCACCTCCCCTCCCAGAAGGCCCCCAGCCGCTCTATGATCAGCGCCTTCTGACCTATGCCTGGCTTGGGAGGCACGGCTAGGATGAGGCGCGGAAACGCCAGGAGTAGGAGGGTAGCAGCTTCATCTCCCGGTCGGCTCTTCAGCCGCTTCAAGATGCAACAGAGTGCGTCTAAGACCCCGGACCGGGCCCGCTGCGGGATTCGGCGCACTGTCCTCCCTCCAACCGCCTCCACACAGAAAAATGCCTCCCACTCCCATGACTTAACCCCTGCCCACGCCTCGTCCCCAAATTCCCGCGGCGTCGGTCGCTCCTGTGTGTCGGTCTCCACCAGAGACGGGATCGAGCCAAGTGCCTGCGCGCGTCTCTCCGCCTCAGCCGCCCGGCATACCCTCATGTGGTTCGCAGCGGCCCCTCTCGTGGCGAACGTGTGGAAACACGTGTCACACGGGAAACGGGGGCATGGGGAAGGCGGACTGGGTGGTTCTCCGTCCGCCTCTGACTCCTCCGCAGTCGCCATGGGGGTATCAAACTCCAAAAGTCGGCACCACTCCTCCAACTGCTGTTCCCGGTCGTCCATCGATCCCCCCCCTGCCTGCTGCGTACCCTGGGGTGCCCCGGGCACCCTCGGCTCCCCTCCTGCCTGCTGCACTCCCTGGGGTGCCCCGGGCGCCCTCGGCTCCCCTCCTGCCTGCTGCACTCCCTGGGGTGCCCCGGGCACCCTCGGCTCCCCTCCTGCCTGCTGCACTCCCTGGGGTGCCCCGGGCACCCTCGGCTCCCCTCCTGCCTGCTGCACTCCCTGGGGTGCCCCGGGCACCCTCGGCTCCCCTCCTGCCTGCTGCACTCCCTGGGGTGCCCCGGGCACCCTCGGCTCCCCTCCTGCCTGCTGCACTCCCTGGGGTGCCCCGGGCACCCTCGGCTCCGGGCGGATTGACAGTATTACAGTTTTACAATCACCCTGTGTGTTTATGGGGCAAGAAATATCATTATCTTGACACCCTTTTCTGAAATCAAAATTCAACAGTAGTACGGTACGTTTTAGGGCCTGCTTTCGTCCATTTGGCCTCATCCATGTTCTACTTCCTATTGCAAGTCAAGAAGCTTTCTCAATAACTTTTCTTCCCACATCAAACTGTAAAATACCGTACAAGGTACAAACAAAGAGAGCGGGGGTCAGGGGTGGATAGAGAGAGAGAGGGGGAGGAAGGGAATGGAAAGGGGCAGTGGGGATTGGAAAAGGGCTCTAGGGGAAATCTAATATAGGACAGGGAAGGTCTGATACTAAGTTGATGATAAGCTGTCCAGCCGGTGCACATAGCTATTCAGGTTGGTTGGATACGTCAACCCTTGAGCACTTGGCACCTGCTCCTCCACAACCTTCCTTGACAAGCGCGCACCAACTAACCGTCTTGCCAAGCACACATGCTCGAAGTCCTAATCGTCTGTGCCAACCGTTGGCTTTCAAGGTGACCTTCAACGCTGTCGTCCCTGAAAGGAGCCGTGATGACAGGTCCTGTGATCACTGCAGCACAGGCAAGGAGAGAGAGAGAGTGGGCCGGAGAGCTCGTGTGTACATCCAGGCAAGAGAGGGAGCGCGAAGGAGGAGAGAGTTGCAGCGACGAGACGAGACCTTGGTGAGTGAAATGGACACAAAGCTCACCTGGCGCTGGCATTGGCCGTTGCGAGCGACGTAGCCATAGATGCACTTGCACCTTGCATATGCGCTGTCGTCGGTGGTTTTGACGCAATTGGACCAGAACGGGCAGCTCACATACGGGCACAGGTCGTCTGCAGCACAGCACAGCACAGCACAGCACAGCACAGCACAGCACAGCACAGCACAGTGCGAACGGAGGGAGGGGAGGAAGGGAAGGCAGAGATGGGGCACGACACCAGAGTGCAGCGCAGCAAACTGGACTGTGCAGGCAAGAGTGTAGCGAGAGAGAGGGAGAGCGAGAGAGAACGACTTTTGCGGAGAGAGGAAAGGAGAAGAGGAAAGGAGGAGGGGAAAGAGGGGAGGAAAAGAGGAGGGGAAAGGAGGAGAGGAAAGGAGGAGAGGAAAGGAGGAGGGGAAAGGAGGCGAGGAAAGGAGGAGAGGCGGGCGGGGCAAGGCAAGAGGGGACGCACCAATGATGCAGCGGGCTGACTTCACTGTACCGGGGAGAGCCATGGTGCTGCGCACAAAGGAGGGGGGAGGGGGCACGACACGAGCGCACAGGTCGTTGGTCAGGTGGGGGAACAAACGAGCGGCGTTTAAAGAGCAGAAGAGAGCATAGGGCAAGCAGGGCGAGCAAGAATGGAAAGCGCACCGCGACTTGCCGTCCGGGAAACTGCCCAGCAGCGGTCCTTTGCAGTTGAAATCCTGGAAGAAGTCGAATGCGCGGCAAGCAGCCTTGCTTGCATCGGTGCCAGGCTGCCACGACACCTGCACCTGCGGCTTCACCACACCCGAAGTGTCCAGATTGTTTGCACAGCGGGTGCCCTTGAAAGGAAGATATGGCTGCCCGTTGATCGTCATCTGCCCGCCAATCTCCACATACACGTATACGTCATAAGGTGCTGCTTGCGATGGCTGCAGGAGACACGCTGCAAGAGAGGGGCGGGGCATGGGAGGGGCACGGACGCGGCAGGGGCGTGTTGATTGGGCATGTCAGCCGGTGTGCAGCAGTGCACTGCGGTGCGGAGCATTGAACTCATGACGGCGAGAACACGACGAGGCGCATGAGAGCGCGGCGAGAGAGCGAAGCGGCGAATGACGGAGCGTACCGGCGATGACGGCGACGATGGCGAGCAGCGCACGCACGCCTTGCCGTTCCCCATGCTGCTACTTCCGGCGGGCGCCATTTGCTCTTCGCGTGGCGAGAGGAGGCGCGGAGACGATGGTTGCGCGAGAGGGTAGCAGAGCGCTATGTGCGAGGCCAGACGAGGAGTAACAGATGTGCAGTGGAGCGTTGCTGCCAGTAGAGGGGTGGCTGATTTACGGAAAAGTCGCGGCGTTGGTGTGAAGTGGTAGAGCAGGAGGTGAGGAAAGCGATCAGCCACGGGCGCTTAAATGGGCATCGCAGCGAACCTAGCGTGCGGCGCATCATGCGCTTCACGAAAGCTTCTGTGCTCGGCGGGACCTCTGTGATCGGCGCAGCCCGCGACGGGCGCGGGGCCTTGGCCATGTGCGACCGCTGCGACAGGAGCCGCTGCAGGGAACGCGTTGCTTTAGGCGCCATCGAGGCTTCGAGTGGGCTTTTTCTAGGCTGTGTGCGACCGTTAGCGAAAGCTGGAAAGGGGATTGGGATGAGGGATCGCGTCACACCCGTTTATTGGAGGCGAAGTCAAGCAGTACCTCCCTAGGGCCCGTTCCCAACCTTCGTGAATATCAGGATCTGGCCAGTTCCCAGCCCTTCGTGCGGGCTCGAGCTTCAGCTCAAAGTAGACCCAGCCCAAGCCCGCACTTTCCGTTCGCAATAGCTAAAACTGGATTCGGGATCGAAGAAAGAAAATGAAGGTCGCGGGTTTCGGTCATTTTCGCAAATCACACTACAATGGAGCCCACGAGTGAAAGGAGGCGCACATGTGCGGGTGCGAGTTCTATTATGGCGTAGCGATTGGTGGCAGCTCCAGTACGGGATCCCCAATATCGAGTACCCTTCCCCATCAGAGGGCTTGCAGCAATATTGATATAGGCCTCAGTTGGAACACGACCTTGGGTTACAAGTTCATACTCACCATTCTGTGTGATCGATACTTGATTTGTTGGAGAGAATTGGGATTCTGGATCTCGTCACAATGGTTTATTGGAGGGAAGTCAAGCATTACCTCGCTAAAAGTGCGGGTTCCCACCCCTGATAGAATCCTGCCAAAAGCTAGGGCGTGTAATAGAAATTGGCAATCTGACTTAATCGACGAACGATTGGATCGGGTGGGGAATGATCGGGCATGATTGCCCGATCTGACGCAATCAGTGATTGCGTTCCGTGCCGCTCGCGGTCTGACGAGACAATTTCTCTTCGAAACTTGATAGAATCATATCCGCTCCTTCCAGGCTAGTCGCACGTCCCTTCAACATCAAAATTGGCGTGATGTAGCAAACATGTATATCGCGCGATTACATTGTAGCTCCTATTGGACCCTAGATCTTGGCTCAGTTCGGCAGGCAGGGGGAAGCAATTTTTCTGGAAGGTTATCGGAAGGTGAGGCCTTCGTCAAGGGTCAACGAATTTTGACCCTGGGTTGACTGCTTGGCGGATAACCTGCGCCATGGGGGAGCTGGCGCAGATTGGAGGGGGGAATACGAAAAAACGTCGCAGGAGAGAGGCACATTTGGCCTCAGATGTGCTTGCCCCAGGGCACTGTAGCGGGAACAGAAAGGTTCTCTAGAATATATATATATATATATATATATATATATATATATATATATATATATATATATATATATATATATATATATATATATATATATATATATATATATATATATATATATATATATATATATATATATATATTTGCGCCCCATGCCGTTGTTAAAAAAAAACGAACAAAGCGTTTTTTATTGCAGTAACCCTTTCCTTTGTAGGGTCCAATATTGGCCCGTGAACATTGAACCCAGGTGGAATAATAATTAAAAAAAATCTTATGTTTTCAAAAAATCACTTTCTTTTTCCGTCTCGCTAGGGAGGAAGCTTTTTGCCAAGGGGGGGAGACTAAGGACAGAAGGCATCGCGGGAGCAATGTTTGGTGGTGTTCAACTCGCTGCTGCTAAACACATGCGCTTCGATTTCCGGAAAGTTTACCCTACAGCCCGCACTGTTTTGCCCTCGATAATGCGTTTAGAAGCTATGAAGAAGCCAGGAAACTTTTTCTTCCGTCCTTCTTCCGTGGCTGCCGAACTGGGCCCCTGTCTAGAGAGTTTCAATGTGGCGAATTGTTTTGTAGCAGCGAGTAGAAGCGAAACTCGGTAGCGGTTGTTACTCTAAGAGATTTTCATTTCCCTTACCGATGTTGCAAGTTATGCGTACAATCCTGACATTTCAGACTTCGCACGTTCGGCCCATATCCACGATTCTGAGGCTGCTCCGCGTCGCCTTCGGTATTCCGATCACCAAACCTGCACCGAACCTTGCAAAAAGGTTAAAGATTTCGATACGCTCTCTATTTCAGAGTTGGCGACGACGGAGTGGCGTGCTGGGTGCTCGTCTACGTCGATGACCTGCTCGCCGCCAGCAGCAGCACTGTGATGCTGAAGGAGCTGTTGGAGGCCGCCTTTGAGCTGCGCGAGATCAGCCCGGTCGAGAAGTATTCGGGGCTCGAAATCGTTCGCGACCGACCTTCGCGGAAGCTATGGTTGCACCAGCAGTCCTACGTCGACAAGCTGCGTATGCGCGTCATCGACGAGGAGCAGATTGGCCAGTGTCCAAAGACACCTGTTTCCGTCGACGCGTATGCCGAGTTGACTTTCGACGACGAGGATTTCCAGTCGCGCAAAGAAGGGGAGTACCGTTAGAAGGTCGGTTCCTTGCAGTTCGCCGCCACGACAACTCGGCCCGACATCGCTTTTGCGTGCAGCAAGCTGGGATCTGGTCTGACGGTGAGGAGAGACCAGCACTGGCGCTAGGTCGATCGCTGCCTCACATATCTAGCCGACACGCGCGATGTTGCTATGGAATGTGGCAGCGGGCCGGAGACTCTGAAACTGGTGGGCTACGCGGACACCAACGACGTCGACGACAAGCAGACACGCAGCAGCACGGAAGGCTACGTTTTCACCTTCGGCGGTGCGGCTGTCTCCTGGACGAGCCATCGCATCAAGTGTGTGACCCTGCCCTCTACAAAATCAGGGTATATCGCGGCCACTAAAGCCGGCAAGGAGGCTCGTAGTCTTCAATTCCTCCTCGCCGAGTAACAGGTCCACGACGCTGGGATGCAGAATGTTCTGAACGTGGACAACCAGCCCGCCATTGTGGTCGCTGAGGGCTTGGGGCTGAAGGGCAACCTCAAGCATATGGAGCGACGCTACGCCTGGGTGCAGCAGATGATGATGCGAAAGAAGATTGCACTGGAGTACATTCCAACATCCGAGCAGCTGACGGACTTCCTCACGAAAGGGCTGCACTTTCCGGCCTTCAACCGGTGCTCTGTCGCGGTCGGCGAAGTTCGCCTTTCCAACGTCGGCGACGACGACAACGATGTGCAACAGTAGGTGCCATGTCCTCGAATATGGCTGGTGCGGTGATCAGCGTGCGGGGGTGTGCACACCAGAGAAAATATCCCCTTCTATTCTACTAGTGACTTAGGTTCTGGGTGGACCTTGTGTGTAGGTGCCCAAGCTTGAGCTGGGTAGGGAAGTGTCGGAGTGAAAGGCCCCGCCCTCGCTTGGGCGCAAGCATTCTCTACAGCGCCATGGTGAATTCGACGAAAGCTGTTGTCGAATTGGCTCCCAGGTTTAGACGTCCAGCGCGTCCTCTGAAACGACGGGTGGTTTTCGAGGAGGCCATTCTCTGGTCGGCTAGCCTATCAACGAGCTCTGGTCGACGGGGTGCTGTTCGAAGAGCTCGTCCTCTGATGAGCTAGTGAGTCGCGCAATCTCTGACGGACAGGGTGCTTTCCGAGGAGCACCGTCCTCTGATTGAAGGGCGCTGTTCGGCGAGCCTCGACTCGGCGAACTGGTCGGGCGAATTTGCGCGACTGCTGAACTCTGCGAAGGCATGAGAAATTCGCTTAGGTGGTTCTCAGCAAAATACGTCCTGCGGAATAGCATCCCGTGCTCGACGGTGGACATCTGGCGAAACCGTCGGAACGTTTTCTACCTGGCACCGCCAACCTGCACCTACTTGGTAGGTGCGCACACCTGCGCTGGTATCCATCTGCGCGTCAACAGGCCGCCCTGCTGCAGCGCTGGCATGTCGCCCTTCTGCTACGCTGGTAGGCCGACCTGTTGCAGCGTTGGCGAACCACTCTGATGGAGTGCTAGAAATTGCATTGCAGAGTGCTTCATAGGGGTTGCAATGCCATTCTAATCATATCAACTTTCATGCCTCATTTTGTACTCTAATTCTCAATTCTCAATGTTCTATCAATTTCCTTAGTGGAAACCCTTGCCATTTTTTTCTGTGAACACAGCAAGTATTAAGAACGCTGCTAGAGCACTACGATTACCAGCACAACCCCGTGACCCCATCCGTAGTTCATTCTCATTTGTGTAGGGTGACTCTCCGCATGGTGCGGTGAGCGTGTAACGGCCCCGCGTTTAGGACCTTCAAATTAGCCGAGTTTTGCGTTCAATACCTAAGTCGTTGTTGGCCGGCAACCGTGTAGACCGCCATGGACGACCAAGGGGTCGATGCAGGAGTAGGAGATACTCAGAAGGTGCAGTTGGTGTTCGGGCACGCCACGAGGTTGGCGGGTATGGCGAGGCAGATTCAGAGATTTTGCTCCTTGGAACTCGTGTGTGGTGGCCCCTCTCCCCGTGCTGAAGCGGACGCCGCCTCCGCCTCTCCCCGACCCGTTCATAACGAATGTGATGGCAACAACACATACGGCAAAGGAAGTACGAGGGTTCGTGGAGTGATTCGGACCGCCGACGTTAGCGGCGGCGGAGTGCAGGCGCAAGTGCGACGATCGGCTGCAAGCAGCTCGAACGTCAACATCGATGGTCGACGCTATTCTCCTCAGCAGCGTGGAGTTAGGCCGACTTCGACTCATGCGTTGGCTGGTTGAGACGGAGGCATCGCGCTAGCGTTCGGCTACTTCAATTTTCTGCCGGACAAGATTGCTGTGCCAAAGCTGCTCGAAGGACGAGACGACTTAAACACATAGATAGAATCCATTGAGCCTCGGCTGGAGATTAC